TTTCCTGGAGAAGTTGGCATAACACTAGCTATAGAGTAGCAGTTGCAGAACTCACATTTATTCATAACACTTTGTAGTTAAAAAGAAGGCTCAGTGCTAACAGCAGCACCATTAAAGTTTAGGTTGAAGTGACTACTGAACTGGCTATCCTTTGCAGTGTTCCCTGTAAGCTGTGGAGTATCGTGAGCAGAAATTCAAGCTTATGAGCCAAAGGAGCCACCAGCATCAAGGCCATGAGCAAGCCCACACCCGGCCATCATGTAAATTAGTTTTTTTAGATGATTATCATAACCTTGTAAAAATCTCAGAATGAATTCTTTTAAACTATATTTTAAAGATAAACTATATTTTAAGGCACACGACTCCATGCCTGCTTTCTCCAGATTCTAGTCCAACTCTCTAACCACTACACCATGATGGCTGTCAGTGTAATAAAGAAACCCATCTACAGGGAAACGGAGCAGCCCATTGCCCTACCTCGCTGGAGGACAAAAAAGTTGGGGGGAAAGAATGGGTAGAAACTGTAAAAAGACCCATTGTTGTGCATAGCAAAGCCTCAGAAGACAAACTCAAAATCAATTGCATATGTCATTTTTCATAACATGTTTGTTGCAATTACTGCAAATATTAAAATATCCTTCCATCATTACAGCGTTGATGCTTCTTTTAAGATCTGTTATTAATTAATCACTCCATTTATTCACATTATCATTCTGGAACAAAGCTATGCAGCATTCAGTCACATTTTGAAATGTGACATATTTCAAATTCCTTCTGGGTATCAATGAAACAAAATCCACCTGGTAATATTTCTACACATACAACATAACCTATGGGAAACAGTGTTCTATTAATATCTACTAGCTTTGTTAACTGTTTGAGACTGACTTGCAGGTTCAGTCTAAAAACAACGGAAAACATTAAATGTAAATATATTTTGGCTGTTATTAATGCATGAGGTGGCAAGATACTTTAACGTCCACATTTGGTCTATTGCCTTATTTTGGACCCTGTAGGATCTATTTCCCATCCTTTTTCTTGAGTTGGAGGCTCTGTAGCAAAGCTTCCAATTTGCTTTTCTGCCAAGTGTGCCATTATAACCCAATGTGGGTTATTATAACCCAAGATGTGCCATTATAACCCACAAAGTCTCCAAATAGCTTCACAGACAATGTTTAATTTTGTTGCTCCTGCTGGCTATATATATAGCTTCTCATATGATAAAGCCATGCCATGCTTGTAATTTATTATTTGAGCCTATGAGAAGATTTATAGTAAGGGAAGATCAGGCATATGCACTTGTGAGACAGAACTACAGAATAAAATTGTTGAACTTTTGTTAATGAAGTCCTCCTATGTTGCCTTCCTGTGGAACTCTCTTAGCTGAAGTGAGACCAATTAAGAATTCCCTCCCTCAGGGAATTCCCTCCCTCAGGTGGTGAGGCGGGTGTCATTCCCTACAAGCATTTTAGTCAGGGCTGTTTGTTTTCTGGAAGGGCCTTGGGTTGGAGTGATTAGAGAAGATAGCTTAAATCTGCTTTGGTGGGTTACTGGCAGTTTAAATGTTATGGATTTTTGGTTAGTGATTAGATGTTTGTCTACAGGAAATAAAATTCTTTAGTATATATGGTAATAAACTGACTTGAAGATATTTTAAGTGGAAATGGCTTAAATAAGTGAATAAAATGCTTCAAGAATAAAGTCATCTTGTTAGGCGGATTGCTTTATTTACAGCAACTGGCAATTTATAAATGGGTTCTTGCCAATTTATACCAAGGTCCTGATCCCACCAAGGGTTACCAGTAAAGGATTCGAGGCTGTTGTGGTTAAAATAGATGTCTTTTACTTAAGAATATATCTCATACGAACAATACTGATGCACTCACACATTCAATCAAGTTTCTAATAATTACAGTAGGAAATAAGCACAGTTGCATTAGCAGGTAGGGGTGATGGCGGGTGATACTTATCTGTCCTGTAGCTTGGTTGTTCCAATGAAGAATAGAGGGGAAGAAATGGAAAACAAAGGGAATTCACACACGACCAGAACCAGCTGGAATGCGTGGGCAGTAGAGGCAAGGGTTGGGGATAGCAAGTGGAACTTAAGAGAGGTAAAAGCAGACAGGGGTTGTTGTGGGGGAGATGCTATCTAGCCAGGTAGGAGGAGCCAGGTGACTGGTTCTCTCCTTTTATAGGGGGTGCAAGAGATGGGTGGTAACTGTGCCAACCTCTTGACCCACCTACCTGTTAGTCCGTCCCAAAAACAATCCTATTGGTTGCATGTGGGAAGGGGAGGTTACCTAAGAGGGGTGGCCAATATTGTAACCTAAAACCTTACTCAGAGTATGGCATCTGGACAGGTGTGAAATTCAGGCATCAGGATGCTCCATTGTAGTGCTGATGAAGTTGGCCATTCCATTGATAACCAAATGTCCATATGGCAGGAAATTCCTTCTCAGGAACAAAGCAGGTGATGGGTAATACGTGACTACAAGCAGCTCTGTCATGGGGGCTGTTTCTTCCTAGAGTTGTTGTTTCATCGCTCACAATAATGGAGGTTTGTGCTACTTCACCAGCCTGGGTAACTGTGTAGCTGAAACCTTATTTACATGTAAGGTATGTGCAGGCACTCTCTATGTGTGGCATCACAACAGGTGACCTAAAGTGTACAGCTTTCTAAGCCTATGTGTGTGTACACAGTCCATTGTGTGTAGCAATAAATAGTCCATAAAGCAAATATCAGGCTTATCCTCTAACAATCTTCACCAGTTCCCAGGCTGTCGTTCTCTGCCACAGAGAACAGGACTACTTGTTCCTAGACAGTAGAACAGAAAATGACTCTGGTATATTCTTGTGTCGTATGAAATCATGAAAGCAGCATTTTCACTGGAATAGGTGGGAGGGTTTATGCCATCATATGTATAAACAGGGCCAAAATTACAAGACTTGGGCCATGCCCACCTGAGTAGCCTTTATCAGAGTACTTCACACCTGTTTAGTTTTGTGATTACTGGCACTATCTTATGGGGAAACTGGACAGCTTATTCTGGGCTTCCACAAAGCAAAGACCCAAGTGCTTCCTGTGGGTACCATTGTCTCTGACAATGTCACATTGATCATTAAACACTTGGTTTAAAATTTTTCATTTAAAAAGAGGAAATGATATATTAGAGTGTAAGATGAAACTGAATCTCAACATATAGTGCTGACATAATGAGACCCATCCCTAACCAAGATTAAGTAAATTTTATATACATTGTTCACATGTGAAACAGAATAGATGCTAAATTGAAGTTTAAGTAATTGCTTAAAGCATTGGTATGAACTTGTGCTTGGAGTCAGAAATGGACTGGATGAGAGTGAATAGCCTAAAACTTCGTGGGAAGTTCTCTGGGTTAATGGAAAGTCACCAGAGACTTGAGTGATCTCCTGCCTTGGCTGGGTTTATACTCTCCTTAAAAAGCCAGGTTCACAGTTTGGGGGTGCTGCAATCACGTTAGAAAGTCAGGTGGCTGCAGTGGTTCAGAGTGCTTTTTCCTGACTTCAGGTGGCGCATCAGCTGCATCCGTACTTGGTTCAGTCAGATCTTGTCACCGTGATCCACACTTTAGTAGTATGTAGACTGTACTATTACAGTGTGCTGCACTTGGGACTACCCTTGAAGAGTGTTCAGAAGCTGCAGCTAGTGCAGAATGCTGCAGCATGTGACCCTGATACTACAGCAATAACACTGACTACCAGTCCGCTCCCAAGGCCAATTTAAGGTGTTGGTTTTGTCCTACATGGCTTGGAACTGGAGTATCTGAAGGACTACCTTCTCCCGTACATTCCTGCCTGGAAATTAAGATCACAGGGAGTGGCCCTATTGACTGTCCCATCAATCAAAAAAGCTAGTCTCATGGGCACATGAGAGAGGGCCTTTTTCAGTGGCAGCCCCATGATTATGGAACACACTCTATCAGGAGGTGTGCCTGGCCCCCTCACTTTCAGTCTTCAGGAGGCAGTTGGAAAAAGTTTTATTTAGGACTGCAGTTGACTAATTTAGGTCCCTGCCACACGGCAGGAAAAAAAACGGGCAAAGTGCGGCTTTTAAAAGCCGCACCAAAATAGAGACGCCGCGGCGGGATCCCACGAATCCCCTGAGCCGCAGCGCCATTGCTCCCCGGCACGATCAGATGCCAGGGAGGAAGCGACAGTCGGGAGGGGGAGGCTGCTGAACTGCGCATGTCTGAGCATGCGCAGTTCGGCCAGGAGCCAGGGATGCGCCGGCAGAAGGACGTGCTGGCGATCCCACGACCAGCCTTGATGCGCCCTTTCCCGAAGAACCACCTAGGTAGGTGGTTTATTTTTGATGCAGGGTTTTGGGTGGAAGGGCTGGATCAGGAATGGGCGCACCATGCTTCCCAGATGTTGCTGTGGGATCGTGCCGTTTGCTGCGCCCCCGATCTGTCCCTCTCCCGGCCAAAAACCTGTCGTGTGACCGGAGCCTTAGTTTTTATTTATTGGCAGACCTAATTGGACATTTTATGTTCTTTTATGGGTTTTTTATAATAGTTTTATTTATATTGTAAGCTGCCATTTGCAAGGTAAAAAGGTAGTTAATTAATATTTTAAATAAATAACTGTGCATACAGTCTGAACAGGCAAAATTGATTTCTGTATTTGTAGGGGGGGTGGCAGGACTCCTCTACATCACACACACAGAGGCTCCTTCTACTTTCTTGGCAGTCCTGGTGATTCCATTTTAATGTTGGCTTTCTCTTGATCCACTAGAAAAATATGCCGAAACTGCAAGTGTGGGCAAGAGGAACATGATGTTCCCACCAGCAATGAGGATGATCGTAAAGTGGGGAAGCTCTTTGAGGACACAAAATATACAACCCTTATTGCCAAGCTGAAGTCTGATGGCATCCCTGTGTACAAGCGCAATGTCATGATACTGACAAATCCAGTGGCAGCCAAGAAGAATGTGTCCATCAATACAGTAACATATGAATGGGCACCTCCTGTTCAGAATCAAACCCTGGTGAGATATTTATGTTGGCGGGTTTGGGCAAGTGGGAAAGCATGTATGTCAAAGGGTTGGAAGGGGTCTAAAGATTATTCAGCGTCTGGTATTGATATAAAGCAACTAACATTTAGTTTAACAGTTATATGCTTGGTAGTCATAAGCCATGATTTCCACTGTAAATGTAAACACAGAGGAATTGGGTCTGACCATCTTGTCTTATAAGTCTCTGAGTGCTATGAAACTGTCAAGTGCTGAATGGGAGGGAGTAGTTGGGAGGCATTAGAGAGTTGGGGCACTGAGAAATCAGTGGTGTTAATGGCTAGGATTAAACACTGGTGCTAGTGATGTTCACCACCACTTAGGATGATTTATGAATTCCCAAACGAGCTGTTCTAAAAAGACTTTCAGAAATAGGTCATACTGTTGGAAAATGTGCATAATTTATATCATTGTTTAAAAGCTAAGAAAAACACTCAGGCTGGCTGCATTTCTGTTACTGTATATGGTCAGAACGAATAGGGTGTTGTCATCCAAAACAAAAGCTTCCTTTTTATTAACTGTTCTGCTAGATGATAGTTGGATAGCCTTGTTGGGTTGCTGGGTTTTTTTTCCGTTTGTTCATTTTTCTCTTTTTAACTGTTTCATTCTTGAGTCACATTTATGTGCTGCTGTGCTGAATGACCTAAAGCAGGAGGTTGGCAATCTGTGTGGGGCTTCTCATTGCAAGAGGCTTGTAGGAACTTTATTTTTAAAAGGTTCCCCTGCGGATTTGTTTTTGTTCCAGTTTTTATTATTTAATGTCTTTCACCTTTAAGCTTTTTGCTCAGACAAACACACACACACATCTGCACTCGACATTATTCCTCTATTTTAAAAAGTGAAGATTGCAATTAGTATATCTGAAACCTCCTGTGCAAGAACTTTCCAAAGATATCCAGTATTATCTAAACTGTGTTGGAGCCTGTTTATTCCACAGGAGTAAACATATGCTTTCATATTGTAAAACCTCTGCATTCAGTTATGCCTGCAATTAATTCCCGTCTCAGAATGAATTGGTCTTCTGTTCACCCATTTCCACCATCCACACCTTGCCATTCATTCCAGTACAAAGTTTTGCTAAGTGCTACTGATCTGCCTTTTGTTTGGAAAGCAGAATTCAAAGGGCCATCAGATAACTTAATTCTGGCAATCATTCCTGGCTTTTTAGGCAAGGCACTATATGCAGATGCTTCCGAAGGAGAAACAGCCCGTAGCTGGCTCAGAAGGCGCTCAGTACAGAAAGAAGCAGTTGGCAAAGCAGCTGCCTGCTCACGATCAGGATCCTTCCAAATGCCACGAGCTGACTCCTAATGAGGTGAAGCAGATGGAGCAGTTTGTGAAGAAATACAAGAACGAGGCACTCGGAGTGGGAGACGTCAAGCTCCCAAGTGAAGTGGAAGCAAAAGGCAATGAGAAGAATGTTCCAAGTAATGGAGAAAGGGGCACCTCTGCCACAGTAGGAGCAATGGAAGACAAGCTGGCTGGTCAGAAGGGATCACAATATGTAAGTATGTATCTGTGACTCTTTCTGTGCAACAAACTGCAAAGAGGAGCTACCCTAGGGAACTGATGTGCAAGCATATGAGTTTAAAAAAACTTAGGAAATTGTAAGTCATGCTAATATCCTTTGCACATTTGGGGCATCACTTAATTTTTAGCCTTTTAATTATTGAAAGTTGCAGGTTTTGTAAGAGCTAAAATTAACAGGGCAAATGTGAATTCTTCTAGGTCTCCCCACTGACAATAATTTCACATATATATTCTGAAGTGTACTGCTCTGATTTGTGTTACTTCTTGGGGAAAGGGGCGTGAAATTATTTTCCCCCACTTAATTAATTTGTCAATTAGGCAGCTGCTATCCAGACTTCAGTAGAATGTGCCAGGTTCGACAGCTGCATTGAGATCAATATTTTTGCTTCTTCGAGATGCTTGGAGAGGATGCTGTATTTAAATGAGATCCATTCGTTCCCAGGAGGGGGGATGCAGTGGGTTTATTATTTGCTTGCTGCTGTTTCCCCCCCCCCCCCCATGATGAACACAGAGTAATCCTTGCAGGGAAATAAAGCTCCCTGTATAGAACGGGTGTGTATGTTGCGAACAGAAGCAAAGTGAGAAGTTCGGTCATGGTTAGTCTTTCGCTGAGATCTCAGAACTGATTTCAGTGCAGAGAGGACTGTGCTTGGGAAAAAAATGACAAATCAGAAATGCCATCATTTCCTGGTTTCATTTGTCAGTTGAAAGCAAGAACTGGAAACTGTTGTCGCTGATAGAGATTGGAGAAAATCAATGGGCCAGGATTCCCCAAACTAAGAAACTCATTCCTTGGGCCTCATGGAATGTCGTTTTTCTTTAATGCCACCCCTTCCCCTCCACTGGGCTACTGTGCAAGGTTTCAAAAATAGTTTTAGAGCCAGTATTTGGGGGAGGAGTCAGTGTGTGGGGGGGAACCACTGTTACCCACAAGCTCTTTATGCACAGTTCTCAATCCCAATTATTGACTACAAGAACATTTGAAGGATAAAGTATTGTAGTTGACTACCCAGATTAAAGAGACATTTTTAGATCTATAACATTGATGTAATGAATGAAAACTGAGAGAAATATCCACACTGTAATGCTGGTTCAAAACGTAACCTGTTCATGGTGAGGTAACTTGATAAAGCATGAAATGGCCTCTGTAACTTGGTGCTTGGGGGGGGGGTCAACAGTGGGAGGGCTTCTAATGTCCTGGCCCCACTGCTGGACCTCCTGATGGCACTGGTATTTCTGGCCACTGTGTGACACAGAGTGTTGGACTGGATGGGCCTTTGGCCTGATCCAACATTGGCGTCTCTTATGTTCTTATGTTCTTATGTTCATAGCAGGTATCTAAACACTCCATCAGTCTGATGTTGTGTGAGTGGTGGATTTATTTGCCCAAATGGTTTTTCTGGTCTGTAATGATGGTGGTGTGATATACTTCTGTCACCTCCCATTCTTCTTCCAAAGTGATCATCATGATGGTTCTTCCCAGGGGTCATTTCATAGAAAAAGGGGTGTAGGAGCTCATTAGCATAACTCATTAGCATAACTTATTTGCATATGCCACACCCCCTGACATCACCAGAAGTGTGTCAGAAGGCAACACCCACCACTCAGGCTCCACCCAAAAAAACTCCAGGTATTTCCCAACTCACTGGTGAGCCTACCTGGAGAAAAACTGCTTCAAAAGCACAAAGAAAATTTGTGGCAGGGGATCAGCTTTTGTGAGCCACTGAACAGAGGTTACAGTTCCCACATTTGCAGAAGTCTACAGATACGGGCAACATCCTCCTCACTTGCTACCTACATGTAATGGTTGATGACTCTGTTTCAATGTATCTGAAAATGAGTGCATGAACACGAAAGCTTATACCCAGAATTAAACTTTGTTGGTCTTAATGGTGCCACTGGACACAAACTTTGTTCTATTGCTTCAGACCAACATGGCTACCCACCTGAATCTGTGCAAACCAGAATTATTCAAGAGGGCTCTTCTACACAGGCAATAGGGTTACACTGTACAAAAGACTTCACAAAGTTACTTGAACAAATTGTTGGGGTACACCCAACACCTCCTGTCCACACATGCTGAAGGTAGCAGCTCAATGTTTCATTAGCAGTGGTACTTAAGAATATCTGTTCCAGTGCAACAGAACAAAGTTTGAGTTCAGTGGCACCTTTAAGACCAACAAAGTTTATTCACATGAAGGCTTAGACCCAGAATTAAACTCTGTTGGTCTTAAAGGTGCCACTGGACCCAAGCTTTGTTTGGCACACTTTGTGTTTATTGACTGTTAACTTTTATTTCAGCTGGTTATAGCCTAACTCATTAGCTGAAAGAGAGAGGGAGGGAGGGAGGGAAAAGAAAAAATGTAAAGAAAGGGATAGAAAGAAAGGGAAAGAAGGAAGGAAAGGGAAAGAAATGGGGGAAAGGGAAAGAAAGAAAAGGGGGAAAGGAAAAGAAAGAAAAGGGGGAAAGGAAAAGAAAGGGAGCAAAGAAATGGAAAGAAAGGGGAAGAAAAAATGGAAAGAAAGGGAAAGAAAATGAAAGCCTCTGTGTATGTTTGCTTTCCCCAAGTTATAAATTACCCCACCAGCAGTTAAAAAGGAGCTTGAAGACTTACACATTTGAAATGACCCGTTCTCAGGTCCATTCAGCATATAAAAACGAAAGTGAAACAAGAGCTCCAAGAGGACCAAACTAAATCACACAGATTACACATGTAGAAGAAGAAGAAGATTTTATTGTATTTAGCCATGGGCCATTACAAACCACAGACAAAGAAGAACACACTAAAACTTTAAAATTGTATAAAATAAGATACAGTCCAACATTATAAATCCATAAAATCGAGGTTATGAACAGTTAATTAATTCACAACATACCCACTAAAATCAGTATTGGCTAG